ACAGCAGCCTCAGCAGGCCATGATAGGAACCTCTTCATGGGGCCATCCACTGGGAAGCACTACCAATTAATGCATCTCTTCTGTTATGGAAAATCAACAAAACTGGGCCTTTCTCACAGCCACAGGCCTCCCCATTACACCAATCAACAAAACTGGGCCTTTCTCACAGCCACAGGCCTCCCCATTACACCAATCAACAAAACTGGGCCTTTCTCACAGCCACAGGCCTCCCCATTACACCAATCAACAAAACTGGGCCTTTCTCACAGCCACAGGCCTCCCCATTACACCAATCATCAGAACTGGGCCTTTCTCACAGCCCAGCCTGGTCTCATAGACTAGACATAACATAGATAAAAGTAAATCCGGGACACTGAAATTAGTATGATATGTTATGTTTGGCATGGTTACGTAAGACTGATGGCTACTTAACCTTTTCACATTTGATTTCCAAATATCACTAACAGAGTTTTTTGATGCACGTGATGTCAGAATGCACACACTGTTCCAAAATGTGATTGTTACACAACAGGACAGTTAACCCGTGCTGCCCTCAAGCCAAGGCACGCTGCCTGCTAATTATCTATAGGCTATGTTTCAATTTCTCAATTTCTAATGATTTTAGAACAAGTTTAATTTTCTAACAGTTTGAATTGAGGTGTGTTCCGCCTCCTCATTAATTCACATAAGAAGTAGCCCATTTCACTGTTGTGGACAATTTATGTTTGAGGCTTTACTGAGCCGGACAAAGACGGGAGCCCAATCACTTCCCCAGATCAATGTATGCAGACATTTGCACATCTCTAGTCAGAACAGGCCTTGCACAAACTTTTCCCCTTGGCACATTTTCTGGCTGGCGTTCGCATTGCCTTCATTGTTGATTTCCTTACAAATAATAACTTTGGACATGTGTGCGTTCCAATCAAAGTAAGTGCCTTGTTTTCAGTATATCGTGTTGTCATTTCTACTGTAGCACACCATATGTATGTATGGAGCATCATGTATTTACTGTTTTATTCACATGTTTTCAAGTACTGGTGGCAAATCTTGCATTCCAATTCTTGCATAGATCGTTCAAAACAATTTTTCCCAGTCGGAGCTCGTTTTTTTTCAGAGTTCCCAGTTGTCTTGAACACACTGAAGTCAAAAGTCTGATATTTCCGAGTTCCCAGCTCCGAGTTCCCAGTTGTTTTGAACGCGGCATCAGATTGTAACTATGGTACCTCAGGGTTGCTAGCTCAGACCCCCCTACCAGGGGTTTTATTTTTATTTAGCTTATAAACTTCTCCTGTGTTTGCCCCACATGTATTGATAAATCCCCCATCATAGTAATATTTCCTGCATCATATCCCCTCACGATACCTTGCCCCATTTCTACGCCCCATGGACTTGAAAACCCCCCAGAAATTAAATGAACCCCCCACCAACCCCCCTAAAATGGTTTCATTGATATCTGGCAACCCTGTTTAGCTTCCACACTATGGTTAGGCTAGGCAGTAGGCTTGTATTTGGGGTGATGATCTGTGAGGTGATAACATTTTATTTGCTTTGTGTTTTGTCAAAAACTTTAAACAACTTGTCAAGTCATGTGCTTCGGTTCTTGTATACACTATAACAAGTACATAGAAGATTTGTAATATGCTGAAAAGTGATCTTTGACTTTGACTTTGTTTATTTGCATCTTATAGTGAATGGCATTCTGGGATTAGGGAGTTCTCTCTTGTCAAACATAAATAAACATGGCTGCCATCATATAGAATTTAGCTGCTGTTAGCTTAGCTGACACGCATCTCTTTTCTAAACAATATTACATTTATCCCTTGTGCTCACCAGAGATGTGGTACATATTAAACAAGTCTAGCTGTTAGGTCGCTAACTTATGTTTTGTTTTTTGTCAGCGCAACCTATTATTTAGACTGGTTTATGGAATGAGTTTGGCTGTGGATGTGTTCCGTGTGATGCTTGGATGATGAAGTTCGCATTTATCTTTTACAATAAAAAGTGACATTGATGAATAAAGTTGTGAAGACCTTTATTTCCCATCAGTACAAAACATTGTTTAGATGCTTTTCAGACAACAATACTGTTTAGACGCGTTTGTTGCATCATATGTTCTGTTGCTTCTGTTCCAATCACATATTTGCGATGGTGTGCTGCAGGGACCACTCATCAATCACAAAGATGTGATCGTACGCGTCAAAGGGTTAACCCTTTTAGATAACCGTTCCCCTAATCCTAACCTTAACCCTTTAACCTAACTCCTAAACTTAACCCTAACCTTAACCCTAACCCCTAACCCTAACCCCTTGCCTAGCTAATGTTAGCCAGCTAGCTAACGTTAGCCACCTAGCCAGCTAGCTAGAATGAGTAACATATCATACGTTTTGCAAATTCGTAACATATTGTATGTTTGTAAATTCGTAACATATAACACGAATTGTAATTCGTAACATATCATACGAAATGGGTGATTGACATCCACAAATTAATACATACCATATACGAAATGTAACATATCATACTAAATTGAGTGTCTCGGATTTACGTACAGAATCATATGAAATGCCCTGAGACCAGGTTGCACAGCCACAGGCCTCCCCATTACACCAATCATACAACTGGGCCTTTCTCACAGCCACAGGCCTCCCCATTACACCAGTCAAAAGGCACGTGTGATGAGGTAAGGAAACATTGGGATTTCACAGCAGTTCCCTCCACCAACTTCGATCCACGGCAAACAAAGCTAAGTCTATGAAAACCACATCAAATGGCCATGGCAGGCTAGTGATGTCAGAGCTCTTTTTTTGAACATCAAGTGGATGAGGTTTTGAACATTTGTCCAAGGTTAGCTGGTTGACATTACAGCAGTTAGTTCCACAAACTGCAGGGTCTTAGTTAATTGCATTTTAATTGAGATATTAATTGAAGTGTCATTAAATTCAGTAAAATAAATAGTTTTAATATTGTTTTATCCATAAGTTTAAATATTCAATTCACATCTAGACTCGTATTATTTAATTTCAGATTCTAAATTGTATCTAAAAGATACAATTATAGGACACACTGTTGCTGTTAAAGGCCTCACAAGATCTATTTACTATGAACAAGGTAGTGATAAAACATGAACCATTTTGTGATGACTGCGGCCTCATTGCTGTTAGACAAACCATATCATGTAAAGCGATACACTGTCAATATCTTTAAGAGCATGCTTTATGCAATCAAAAAAGCAAAGTCAAATTGAAATCCGTGCCAAAATACAAAGGCGGCAGGGATTGCTATAAAAGGAATTCCAGTGTGCACTATGGAGGCTCTGAAGGGACAAAAAACAACCCCAGAATGAAAATATTGGTATGTACTCTGATCTATTTCTGCTTCCCTCCCTGCAGCCTTTTTAATCGTGCATCCCTACCCTTACAAGAGCCCCCTGCTAGAGTGGGAGGCTGGGTGTGATGTTTACATATAACACTAGAACCACCACTTACAAATGAGTCCCGCTGGGTATATCCTCAGTCCTGGGACCTCAATGGGCACTGAATAACTCCTGGCAACACATGTAAAGCTCTGAAGGTTGACACACCCATGGTCACGGGATGCTGTTGTACTGTATGCGTCTCCCGTAAAGGGACAACATATATCAGTCTTCTCATAAGAAACACCATAGCTGGGCATGGGGATCTTTTTTTGTAGGTGTAACAGGCTGTGTGTCACAGAATAGTTTGCCTGAGAGAATGTGGTAAATGGCTTTTTATGCTGTATATCAAACTATACATGTTTAAAAACATACAGTTTAATACACAGCACCAAAGCAATATCCTGTGTCTTGAGCACCTGATCCTGTGTCCAGTCAGTCCGCGTTTACAGTAGATAATATTACAATCTAACTAAGATTCATTTATTGTCCTTTTTCACGGTGTTGTCAAATATTGCCTACAGTACGTGCATGTCCCTTCACTGTTTTCACTTCTCTAAATTGTAATGTTTTTGGAGCATTGTAAACCTTCAAAATATACAGGAAAGACCATTATACAACATATATAATTACCATCATTTGAATAATTTCATAATGTGAAATGTTGTATAAAGACGACAGGATCAATAAAGCCAATAATTGGATCTCATTACAAAACAACACAATACTGACAGCACAGTACACATTATTAAAGCAGTATATTTTCTTTTTCATCAGAAGTGAATTACATAATAAAAACAATCGGACACTTTAATCACATAATCAGGGCCAGTATTCTTAATTATATATTTTATACATCTCATCATCATCTATATATTTTTTTAAATTTCAAGTTTAAGTCGACTGATTTTAACTTTACACTGGATGTTTTCTTTTTTTCCCTGTTGATAATATTCTTAAATTCCAATCACCAAATCCCAAACATGATTTCATAGATAAAACAAAACACTAAACGAACATGTTTAAACGAATAAAGACAGACAAGCTCTAAACTACTCCTTTAATACTTTATAAACCTTAACATCAAAAAACTTCTAAAGGAAAACAGTTTTTTATTATTGATGTAAGATCAGAAAAATGTATTTCATAAGTTGAAGATAAGAATACAAACTAGATGATTTTGTTGCAATTAAAAAGACAAATGTTTAAAATGTTACATTTACAAATGGTAAAAGTAGTTTACGTTTTTTTGTACAATAAAAAAATATTTAAAAACAGCTGTTGGCTATGAGTTTTGATGCATACAGTAAAATCAGTTAATTATGCAGGTCTTCATGGAAGGAACTACCACATTTCAACATGTTTCATGAATACATGTGTTGCGGTGAGACAGACACTATTGATTCTGGTCTGTGTCAATCAGTTCTGCTTTACAGGCCATGGCACAACAAACTAATCAAAACATATTTCTAAAAAAGCAATATCAAATGTTAGAGACCAAAAAAAGTCAAGAAATTCAAATAATTGTATATATGAAAAGGAAACACAGATATTATATGTGGACAGAAGATGAAGGAATTTGAAGTTCTTACGCAGTCAGCTTTTCCCCTCCAACTTTGGGACCCTAAAGACCAATGAGACATACTGAAATTGAGAGACAGACTGGGTGTCTTTAATACCCTTCAGAAGACATTTGATGTGGTATCATGTGTTTTTTGTCAAATTCAATAAACCATACAGTAGTAATTTTACATGACATGATGAAAGTGACAAATTACTAGCTAATTCCTTCATAAAGTAGAAACAGTTATTTCTATCATGCATGAGAATGATGCATAGAGCCAATATAAACCATATAATCAACCATATAATCAACCATATCATCAAAACACCATAATCCCCTCCCATAGTTCTGTTTGACAACAGATCATGTCAAGACTCTATGTTGCTCACTTCTAGCCATCAGGCTCCAGGTAATCCTCGTCATCATGGATCTCCAGGCCCTTGGGCTTGGGTCTCTCATGGACCTCTGCAATCTCCTCTCTGGTCTCAGCTGGCGTGATCATCGACACCACATCATCGTAGCTCTCCTGTTGATCTTCCTCCACCTCGTAGGTAACATGTTCTGTAAAACATTTAGTACAGAGCAGCACATAAAGAATAATATAATATAAGCTATTTAACAGACGCTTTTTATCCGAAGCGACTTGCAGTCATGCGTGCATACATTTTTCGTATGGGTGGCCCCAGCGGGAAACAAACCCAAGACCCTCAGCGTTGTAAGTGCCATTCTCTGACGGCTGAGCCACACAGGACCAAAGACACAACACATTCAGGTACGTACGTATATAACTGAGCTGGGCCTTTATATTACCGTGGGTAGCAGCAGGTCCAGCCCCTGGGCCTGGACTACTGGTTCCATCTCCTCCACTGGATAAGGGTTGAGCTGGGACGTTCTCCACCTCAGCAATGTCATCGTAGGACAGGGATGACGCAGCACTTCGCCGGCCATTCTCCTTGTCTCCGTCAATCACTGATCCTGTAGGAACAGCAATACAGAGAGGGATGTGATGATACAGCAACAAGGCACTTCATTATACTAGGACAGCTACAGTGATCCCCCCCTTATCATTAAAGTAGTTATCCCTTCTGTCATCTACAGTGCCTTCGGAAAGTATTCAGACCCCTTGATTTTTTCCACATTTTGTTACGTTACAGCCTTATTATAAAACGGATTAAATTGTTACCCCATAATTACAAAGCAAAAACGTTTTTTCTTTTTTTTTAGCAAATGTTTAAAAAAATACAAAACTGAAATATTACATTTACATAATTATTCAGACCCTTTACTCAGTACTTTGTTGAAGCACCTTTGGCAGCGATTACAGCCTCGAGTCTTCTTGGGTATGACGCTACAAGCTTGGCACACCTGTATTTGGGGAGTTTCTCCCATTCTTCTCTGCAGATCCTCTCAAGCCTGTCAAGTTGGATGGGGAGCGTCACTGCAGAGCTACTTTAAGGTCTCTCCAGAGATGTTCGAGGTCCGGGCTCTGACTGGGCCACTCAAGGACATTCAGAGACTTGTCCCGAAGCCACTCCTGCGTTGTCCTGGCTGTGTGATTAGGATCTTTGTCCTGTTGGAAGGTGAACCTTCACCCCAGTCTGAGGTCCTGAGCAGGTTTTCATCAAGGATCTCTCTGTACTTTGCTCCGTTCATCTTTCCTGCGATCCTGGCTAGTCTCCCAGTCCCTGTGGCTGAAAAACATACCCACAGCATGATGCTGCCACCACTTTGCTTCACCGTAGGGATGGTGCCAGGTTTCCTCCAGACGTGACGCTTGGCATTCAGGCCAAAGAGTTCAATCTTGGTTTCATCAGACCAGATAATCTTGTTTCTCATGGTCTGAGTCTTTAGATGCCTTTTGGCAAACTCCAAGTGGGTTGTCATGTGCCTTTACTGAGGAGTGGCTTCCGTCTGGCCACTCTAGCATAAAGGCCTGATTGGTGGAGTGCTGCAGAGATGGTTGTCCTTCTGGAAGGTTCTCCCATCTCCACAGTGGAACTCTAGAGCTCTGTCAGTGTGACCATCGGGTTCTTGGTCACCTCCTGACCAAGGCCCTTCTCCCCTGATTGCTCAGTTTGGCCGGGCGGCCAGCTCTATGAAGATTCTTGGTTGTTCCAAGCTTCTTCCATTTAAGAATGATGGAGGCCACGGTGTTCTTGGGGATCTTCAATGCTGCAGAAAGGTTTTGATACCCTTCCCCAGATCTGTGCCTCGACACAATCCTGTCCCGGAGCTTTTGGTTTTTGCATGCTCTGGCATGCACTGTCAGCTGTGGGACCTTATATAGACGGGTGTGTGCCTTTCTAAATCATGTCCAGTGAACTGAATTTACCACAGGTGGACTCCAATCAAGATGTAGAAAAATCTCAAGGATGATCAATGGAAACAGGATGCACCTGAGCTCAATTTCGCGTCTCATAGCAAAGGGTCTGAATACTTATGTAATTAAGGTATTTCTGTTTTTTAATTTTAATAAATTAGCAAACATTTCTATGCTTTGTCATTATGGGGTATCGTGTGTAGATTGCTGAGGAACGTTTTTCATTTAATCCATTTTAGAATAACGCTGCAACATAACAAAATGTGGAAAAAGTCAAGGGGTCTGAATATAAATACTATATAATTTTTTCGTTGATATATATATATATACACTGCTCAAAAAAATAAAGGGAACACTAAAATAAAACATCCTAGATCTGAATGAATGAAATAATCTTATTAAATACTTTTTTCTTTACATAGTTGAATGTGCTGACAACAAAATCACACAAAAATTATCAATGGAAATCAAATTTATCAAGCCATGGAGGTCTGGATTTGGAGTCACCCTCAAAATTAAAGTGGAAAACCACACTACAGGCTGATCCAACTTTGATGTAATGTCCTTAAAACAAGTCAAAATGAGGCTCAGTAGTGTGTGTGGCCTCCACGTGCCTGTATGACCTCCCTACAATGCCTGGGCATGCTCCTGATGAGGTGGCGGATGGTCTCCTGAGGGAACTCCTCGCAGACCTGGACTAAAGCATCCGCCAACTCCTGGACAGTCTGTGGTGCAACGCGGCGTTGGTGGATGGAGCGAGACACGATGTCCCAGATGTGCTCAATTGGATTCAGGTCTGGGGAACGGGCGGGCCAGTCCATCGCATCAATGCCTTCCTCTTGCAGGAACTGCTGACACACTCCAGCCACATGAGGTCTAGCATTGTCTTGCATTAGGAGGAACCCAGGGCCAACCGCACCAGCATATGGTCTCACAAGGGGTCTGAGGATCTCATCTCGGTACCTAATGGCAGTCAGGCTACCTCTGGCAAGCACATGAAGGCCCCGCAAAGAAATGCCACCCCACACCATGACTGACCCACCGCCAAACCGGTCATGCTGGAGGATGTTGCAGGCAGCAGAACGTTCTCCATGGCGTCTCCAGACTCTGTCTCGTCTGTCACATGTGCTCAGTGTGAACCTGCTTTCATCTGTGAAGAGCACAGGGCGCCAGTGGCGAATTTGCCAATCTTGGTGTTCTCTGGCAAATGCCAAACGTCCTGCACGGTGCTGGGCTGTAAGCACAACCCCCACCTGTGGACGTCGGGCCCTCATACCACCCTCATGGAGTCTGTTTCTGACCGTTTGAGCAGACACATGCACATTTGTGGCCTGCTGGAGGTCATTTTGCAGGGCTCTGGCAGTGCTCCTCCTGCTCCTCCTTGCACAAAGGCGGAGGTAGCGGTCCTGCTGCTGGGTTGTTGCCCTCCTACGGCCTCCTCCAACTCTCCTGATGTACTGGCCTGTCTCCTGGTAGCGCCTCCATGCTCTGGACACTACGCTGACAGACACAGCAAACCTTCTTGCCACAGCTCGCATTGATGTGCCATCCTGGATGAAGTGCACTACATGAGCCACTTGTGTGGGTTGTAGACTCCGTCTCATGCTACCACTAGAGTGAAAGCACCGCCAGCATTCAAAAGTGACAAAAACATCAGCCAGGAAGCATAGGAACTGAGAAGTGGTCTGTGGTCACCACCTGCAGAACCACTCCTTTATTGGGGGTGTCTTGCTAATTGCCTATAATTTCCACCTGTTGTCTATTCCATTTGCACAACAGCATGTGACATTTATTGTCAATCAGTGTTGCTTCCTAATTGGACAGTTTGATTTCACAGAAGTGTGATTGACTTGGAGTTACATTGTGTTGTTTAAGTGTTCCCTTTATTTTTTTGAGCAGTGTATATATATATATATATATACTACCAGTCAAAGGTTTGGACACACTTACTCATTCAAGGGTTTTTCTTTATTTTTTCTATTTTTTACATTGTAGAATAATAATGACTACATCAAAACTATGAAATAACGCATATGGAATCATGTAGTAAGCAAAAAAGTGTTAAACAAATCAAAATATATTTTATATTTGAGATTCTTCAGATAGCCACCCTTTGCCGTGATGACAGCTTTGCACACTCTTGGCATTCTCTCAACCAGCTTTATGAGGTAGTCACCTGGAATGCATTTCAATTAACAGGCGTGCCTTCTTAAAAGTTAATTTGTGAAATTGCATTTGAGCCAATCAGTTGTGTTGTGACAAGGTAGGGGTGGTATACAGAAGATAGCCCTATTTGGTAAATGACCAAGTCCATATTATGGCAAGAACAGCTCAAATAAGCAAAGAGAATTGACAGTCCATCATTACTTTAAGACGTGAAGGTCAGTCAATCCCGAGAATTTCAAGAACTTTGAACGTTTCTTCAAGGGCAGTCGCAAAAACCATCAAGAACTATAATGAAACTGGCTGTCATGAGGACCGCCACAGGAAAGGAAGACCCAGAGTTACCTCTGCTGCAGAGGATAAGTTCATTAGAGTTAACTGCACCTCAGAAATTGCAGCCCAAATAAATGCTTCACAGAGTTCAAGTAACAGACACATCTCAACATCAACTGTTCAGAGGAGACTGCGTGAATCAGGCCTTCAAGTCAAATTTCTGTAAAGAAACCCCTACCAAAGGACACCAATAATAAGAAGAGACTTGCTTGAGCCGATGGAAACACGAGCAATGGACATTAGACCAGTGAAATTCTGTCCTTTGGTCTGATGAGTCCCAATTTGAGATTTTTGGTTCAAACCGCCGTGTCTTTGTGAGACGCAGAGTAGGTGAACGCATGTTTGGCTCCCACCGTGAAGCATGGAGGAGGATGTGTGATGGTGCTTTGCTGGTGGCACTGTCTGTGATTTATTTAGAATTCAAGGCACACTTAACCAGCATGGCTACCACAGCATTCTGCAGCGATTCGCCATCCCATCTGGTTTGCGCTTAGAGTGACTATCATTTATTTGTCAACAGGACAATTTCCCAACACACTTCCAGGCTGTGTAAGGGCTATTTACCAAAAAGTGATGGAGTGCTGCATCAGATGACCTGGCCTCCACAATCACCCAACCTCAACCCAATTGAGATGGTTTGGGATGAGTTGGACTGCAGATTGAAGGAAAAGCAGCCAACAAGTGCTCAGCATATGTGGGAACTCCTTCAAGACTGTTGGAAAAGCATTCCAAGTGAAGCTGGTTGAGAGAATGCCAAGAGTGTGCAAAGCTATCATCAAGGCAAAGGGTGGCTACTTTGAAGAATCTCAAATATGAAATATATTTTGATTTGTTTAACACTTTTTCGGTTACTACATGATTCCATTTCTGTTATTTCATAGTTTTGTTGTCTTCACTATTATTCTACAATGTAAAAAATTGTAAAAATAAAGAAAAACCCTGGAATGAGTAGGTGTTCTAAAACGTTTGACCTGTAATGTATATATATAGTTTATTAATTACACTTCTGATTTTATGGATGTCATGCTGTGGAGTTGTTTTAACAAAAAAGGATGGAACTCACCATGGCGATTCAAATCTCTCATTTCCATTGGTCCAAACTGTTCATTTTCGCTGGTCTCTACGTCCTCATAGTCTCCACTCTCAAAAGCAGACTCTTTTCTCATTGAGAATCTCGCTGGATTCAGAATATTATACTAATCAAAACATCAGTGTCTCTCCAAAGCATACATATTAAGAACATATCTAAATGTTTTCACATATTCCATAACATTTAATTCAATGTCACTTGATATTTCTAGTGTAGAACATGCTGTTAAAGTGCTCACTGACTGCCCTCCAGTGGTGGCACAATTGTACAAATGCATTTGTAATGTGTTTAGGACATAGAGATACAGTGCCTTGCAAAAGTATTCATCCCCCTTGGCGTTTTTCCTATTTTGTTCCATTACAACCTGTAATTTAAATGGATTTTTTTGTGGATTTCATGTCATGGACATACACAAAATAGTCAAAATTGCTGAAGCAAAATGAAAAAAATTACTTGATTCAAAAAATGCTAAAAATAAATAATGGAAAAGTGGTGAGTGCATATGTATTCACCCCCTTTGCTATGAAGCCCCTAAATAAGATCTGGTGCAACCAATTACCTTCAGAAGTCACATAATTAGTTAAATAAAGTCCACCTGTGTGCAATCTAAGTGTCACACCATCTGTCACATGATCTCAGTATATATACACCTGTTCTGAAAGGCCCCAGAGTCTACAACACCACTAAGCAAGGGGCACCACCAAGCAAGCGGCACCATGAAGACCAAGGAGCTCTACAAACAGGTCAGGGACAAAGTTGTGGAGAAGTACAGATCAGGGTTGGGTTATAAAAAAAAATCTGAAACTTTGAACATCCTACAGAGCGCCATTAAATCCATTATGAAAAAATTGAAAGAATATGGCACCACAACAAACCTGTCAAGAGAGGGCCGCCCACCAAAATTCACGGACCAGGCAAGGAGGGCATTAATCAGAGAGGCAACAAAGTGACCAAAGATAACCCTGAAGGAGCTACAAAGCTCCACAGCGGAGATTGGAGTATCTGTCCATAGGACCACTTTAAGCCGTACACTCCACAGAGCTCGGCTTTACGGAAGAGTGGCCAGAAAAAAGCCGTTGCTTAAAGAAAAAAATAAGCAAACATGTTTGGTGTTCGCCAAAATGCATGTGGGAGACTCCCCAAACATATGGAAGAAGGTACTCTGGTCAGATGAGGCTAAAATTGAGCTTTTTGGCCATCAAGGAAAATGCTATGTCTGAAGCAGACCCAACACCTCTCATCACCCCAAGAACACCATCCCCACAGTGAAGCATGGTGGTGGCAGCATTATGCTGTGGGGATGTTTTTCATCGGCAGGGACTGGGAAACTGGTCAGAATTGAAGAAATGATGGATGGCGATAAATACAGGGAAATTCTTGAGGGAAACCTGTTTCAATCTTCCAGAGATTTGAGACTGGGACGGAGGTTCACCTTCCAGCAGGACAATTACCCTAAGCATACTGCTAAAGAAACACTGAAGTGGTTTAAAGGGAAAGATTTAAATGTCTTGGAATTGCCTAGTCAAAGCCCAGACCTCAATCCAATTGAGAATCTGTGGTATGACTTAAAGATTGCTGTACACCAGCGGAACCCATCCAACTTGAAGGAGCTGGAGCAGTTTTGCCTTGAAGAATGGGCAAAAATCCCAGTGGCTAGATGTGCCAAGCTTATAGAGACATTCCCCAAGAGACCTGCAGCTGTAATTGCTGCAAAAGGTGGCTCTACAAAGTATTGACTTTGGGGGGGTGAATAGTTATGCACACTCAAGTTCTGTTTTTTTTGTCTTATTTCTTGTTCGTTTCACCCCAAAAAATATTTTGCATCTTCAAAGTGGTAGGCATGTTGTATAAATCAAATGATACAACCCCCCCCAAAAAAATCAATTTTAATTCCAGGTTGTAAGGCAACAAAATATGAAAACTGCCAAGGGGAGTGAATACTTTCGCAAGAGGACTCATCACGGATATAACCCATTTTAGCATGGACATTGTCATTGAGGGCTTCCACTATTTTAAAGTAGTCAACTGTTTGGGGATTCCTATGAATTGGGATCAATCAGCCAATGAAGAAGAAGAAAATTGACTACTTTAAAATGGAGATAGCCTCAATGGCGCTGCCCATGCCATCACAGACGCTATAATGGCACAGATACAAAGATTGGTTTTATATCTATGGTTTAGGATCGATACCACTTTAGGATAATTTCCTAATTGTGACAGAGCTACACAGATACACAAATTATTACAAAGGTGTCCTTCAATTTGGCTATTGTACTGTAAGTGGCTTTAGTTGGTAAATCCCTACAGTATTATTATCAGCTGTTGAAATGACACTTACCTTTGAACCTGGTTACAAAGCGTCTTCGTAGGAAGAGACAGAGGGCAGCGACCATGACCAGAGACAACACTCCGAGGGAAAGACCAACATACAAGTTGATGGGGATCGGATCAATGGGCTTTTTGACTTGATAACCTGAAATCATATTAAGTGATTGGGGAGAAATATTATAACTTAAGACATAGACCGTACACATTTTGTCCATCTTAGATTTTAGGAAAAGAGTGTCTTGAGTTTTACTAAGATGACAAAAGCAATTCTGAAGAGTGAGAGACATCTTTGCCATTCTATAGCTAGATAGACCCCTACAGTCAGCAACATATCTGAAAACAAGGTTACCTCCCGCAAGCTACTTCAAATCAAATCAAATCAATTGTTATTTGACACATGCGCCGAATACAACAGGTGTAGATCTTACAGTGAAATGCTTACTTACAAGCCCTTAACCAACAATGCAGTTTTAAGAAAAATAAGTGTTAAGTAAAGAATAGATAAGTAAAAACTAAAAAAATCACAAATCACAAATAATTAAAGAGCAGCGGTAAAATAACAGTAGCAAGGCTATATACTTACAACCTGAAACATTGGAAATTAGCACTTTGAACAACTAATGGTGGTGTGATCATTGTAGTACCTTCACAGTATATTACATCAGGTTTTTCACAACGCTTCTCCTTGAGGATGCAGTGCTGTAAATCTGTATTGTCAGAGGAGCATTGGAGAGATATCTCTGGTGTTTTTAGTCCTTTTTCCTCATCTGACTGTTCAATCAGACCCTGTTGGAAACGTCGAGGACTGCCACAGTTCAGCTTCTTGCAAAGGAATCTAGCTTCATTTGATAACAAATCCGGTAGACATGCCGACTCCCAGGTCCCTCGATAAAGTATCTTAATTCTCCCTCCGCATTTCTGAGTTGAATTGAATTTCACAGCACCTGAAAAATAAATGATGAAGTTGCACCACTTACTGCACTGCTAACCTCTGTTATGGAAACATCACTACTGTATTAACCACACGATTAGTTACCGCTTGTCATGTACACGTCTTCAAAGTTAGTATTTAACTCTTACCTGCACACGACACAGAAACCAATCCTCTACCACACTTTCCTTTCGTTGTTTTGCACTGGCCAAGATTGGACTCTGAGCCGCTGCAGCTGACAAAATATCCATCAGATCGACGTCCTTTGTTGGTTTCTTCGGATGAGATTCTGTTGCTACACTCCTGCTCTTGACATGCTATTTTGGAGTGACTGTCATCCCAGTTATCATAACACACTGGCAGGTGATTTAACATCACCTGCCCAGTGCATTTACCTGGATCTCCCAGGCTTGCTGTGAGAATATCTATGGGGAAACATAGGTGTAAGAATACATAAGCGCCTCAGTCCTTCAGCAGTAACATCAATTATCTTGGCAACTTAAATACCACAACATTTATTTGGTATTATAAACTGGGTGGTTCGAGCCCTGAATGCTGATTGGTTGAAAGCCGTGGTATATCAGACCGTATACCACGGGTATGACAAAACATTTATTTTTGCTGCTCTAATTGTGTTGGTAACCAGTTTATAATAGCAATAAGGCACCTTGGGGGTTTGTGGTATATGGCCAATATACCACGTCTAAGGGCTGTGTCCATGTATTACGTACGTCCCAATCATATCTCCCTACTCCATGGTAGGAGTTTCAGTCTTTTCCTTTCAAATCAGTGAAGGGGAGTGAACAAGTGCGTACTTTGGAATGAAGGGGAGATAATTGGGACATCGCCCCTGTGTTCATAGATATTGTGTTCATAGGATATCACGTGGGGTCTAAGGCTCATTATGTATATGTTTCTATAGGACAGCGACTAATGTTGTCATTTTGGATTTTGATGATCAACCATTAAAGATATGCGGTGGCAAAAATCACATCATTATCAGTGAGAGTATTTGGAATTACTTGTCTTGTACAATTTAATTATTTTATCACTATCTCACCGCGGCACTTTACGAAGAGCGGCTGGTTTTGAGAGGGCCCGTCGTTTAGTTCACAGTCCCAGATGCTGTTGTGCTTGCCTTTACAGCTGTACTTCTTCCCCCACCAGAGATCATGATTCTCTGCATTCTCCATAGTTGTATGGTTTATGTAGGCTCCACAGCCCAGGTCTGTGCACAACACCTTGCTCTCTGTCTCAGTCCAACCATCGCTGCTGACAGCCCAGCCGTGTGCTCCACTGTACACAAACACTTGCCCCTCACAAGCCCCTTTCCCTAGCTTCAACACCATTCTCCTCCATTCTGTGAAATAACACAAGGCACAGTGAAGGTTAGACCAAGTTAAACACACAGCAACGAACGTGCAGCAGGTAACCTAGCAGTTAAGAGCGTTGGGCCAGTAACTGAAAGGTTGCTGGTTCAAATCCCTGAACCAACTAGTTGAAAAATCTGTGGATTTACCCTTGAGCAAGGCACTTACCTCAAATCTCTCTGGGTAAGTACATCAGCTAAATTAGGAAACCCTCAGGCAAATACGTATTCGGATGGCAAATACAGTGTTAAGAATGCAAGGGCCCCAAACTATACTTTTTACAAAAGACAAACTAGTTATTGTGTACATAATGACTTTCATATGGAAATTGGGAATATAAAAAAATATATAGCTATTATTATACACTTTAAACAATATATTCTCTCATTTTGACTCCGGTGTTAAAAGCATAGAAATGAACAAAATACCAGAGCATTGGAGACCACCGAAGGGACATAGTTTGTTGTTGGTCTGAGTAAGTGTAACTCCACACTCTGCCGAAGAACTGCTGTTTGCACTACAGCTGAGGCCTGACACAACAGCATCACTGCTTGCAGGTGAAGGGCCAAAGAACGAGAGAGGTTTGACAGCGTGTCCACAACCCTGCTCTCTGCAGATAGTGTTTTGGACATCTTGGTTCTGGAGGGCAGTCTCACAGACAGGGCGCCAGATTCCTTGGTAGAACATCTGTACGTTGCCTGAGCATCTATCTCTATGATACATTAGCCTGGCCTTGACACTTCCTGCATTGGAATAATCACATCAAATGAAAAATGATCATGCATCAGCAAAATAATGTGAGAATAATATTACATAAAAATAAGGATTTAATGGAAAACAGGGACTGCTACATGATATTACCTGAGCAAACAACATAGGCTGGCTTGTTCTGACAGTAAGACCCATCAGCAATTTTGACCATGTTGCACTGACTGATGTTAGTTGTCTGCTGGGTACTGTGCACACTGCCAATAATGATTTTGTAATCAGCTGACGGTGATTTTGTCTTCAGGTAGGACAGAGGATAGATGGCTGATCCACAATGGAAGGCTTTACACAACATGTTGGACTTATGCTCCGTCCAGGCATCCTCACAAACACCTCCACACATTCCGTTGAGGCACACATCCACCTTTCCCCAGCATTTCCCCTCACCTCCAGCGTCATCTTTCAGGCTTACTGTTTTACTACCTGTCAGGGCAAAGCAGAGATATCAGGAGGAACACCATGAAGACCTACTATTATAATTATTATCAAATTATTTCCATCACCTGTATCATCATATACAGTTATTCTCCTTTGAAAAATAAAATAATCAATCATTAGAAATAGAGAGAGAGAGAGAGGAACGGGATGTACAATGTTTTGACAATAGAATGCTGTGTACCTGAGCAGACGACAGAGGCTATACTGTGGTTCGACAGACGTTCACTCCGCTCGCAATGAAAAAGGGATTTGTTCGTTGGCAGGCATTTGTACGAGTATTTCCACAAATCAGTGGTTCCACTAGCATTAACAACGCTAGTGGATTCAAAGTTAATTGAGATAGCATTCCCACAGTCCATCTCTTGACACACCACTGTGGCAGTTTGACGATCCCAAGTGTCGTTGGACCCAGACAGCCAGTAACTCTTCCCAGCTTCCTCTATGCCCACCTTGCCAGAGCAGGCAGAGTCCCCCATCAGGAACACCACCCGACGCTCTAAACAATCAGAAGAAAGGCAGGGAAAGGGTCCACACATCAGTAAAACACATGTAATCCTAAACAAACCATATTCAACTGCAGCATTAAAGCAGCAAATGGTTCTATTTGGGTAAACTAACTTGACATGACAAACTGTAAAGTTTAATATGCATATATTTGTTGTATCTATTTCATGTGTACGAGAAGGAAAATGACAGATACCTTGGCAGATTAACATCTTATTTTTCTCCTGTTGTTGTAGTTGTTGTTGCAGTTTGTTGGTTGGCTTGATACAGCTAGAGATAGATGTCGAGCCACTAACACAGGTCACTTCAATGTCCATTACTGGACTCTTTCCTTGAATGAAGGAATCAGTACCAGGAGCAGCCACAGCATCACCACATTTCAGTTCTTTGCACATCACTTTTGAGTTTTCCTCCTTCCAGTTGCTTTCACCGACGCTCTTCCACTTTCCTTCATACTGAATCTCTACTCTTCCAGCACACTTTCCAGGGCCATCTGACAAACGCACTTTCACACAACCTGGAGAACAATGTCAGGGGAAAAGAGTATGAAAAACAATTTATATTATTCTAAGTATTAATAAACCTACAATTTAGCACATTATACATGCAGAAAATGTGAAGATTATAAACCAATGAGAAAGAAGAAGAAACCCGCACACTGCTCTTGATTGTGTCACTGCTCTTGATAGTATCACTGCTCTTGATAGTATCACTGCTCTTTGAGGGCCTTGAGGCCACTACATAAAGCTTAATAAAGAGCAGTGATAATAGTAAGAGCAGCGATACTAGCAAGAGCGGTGATACTATCAAGAGCAGTGATACTATCAAGAGCAGTGATACTATCAAGAGCAGCGACACTATCAAGAGCAGTGATACTATCAAGAGCAGTGATACTATCAAGAGCAGTGATATTATCAAGAGCAGTGATACTAGCAAGAGCAGTGATACTAGCAAGAGCAGGGTGCGGATTTCTTATTTTGTCTCATCTTATTCGGCTGTTACCATGGCACCTGCAACAAAGATGACTCAGATGTGCGATTGCCTTTTGAAGATTATAAACCAAAAATCTACTTCTTTAGAAATGGCATTTGAAATGATCAAAACACTGGTAATAGTTTTCCACATATTTTTCATATCGTTGTAATTCTATAAACAATACTGAAAACAATCCTACTGCTCTCGAGTTTCCTGTGTTGTGTAATGTATAGTACCTGAGCAGATGACGTTGGCTGTTTTGCATGGGGTTGAGCTCTCTAAGTGATTGGCCAGGCAGTGCCACAGTGAAGCCTCAGAACCTTTGCAATCTACTTGGTCATGCATTCTACCATGCTGGGGTTGACTCCCAAAGCTGACTGACACAACCTCTCCACAGCCCAACTCTCGGCACACGACTTGTCCATCATTTTTATCCCAATCCTTAGAACACACAGCCTCCAGTGTGCCAGAGTGGTTGAAGTGTACTGACCCAAAACAATGACTGACACTTCGGTCATCTTTCAACAGGGATACGTTGACTTCGTCTGAAACACATTGAGCAATAATTCTCAAAAACTCATAGAAAGTTATTCTTAGCTTTTTCTCATGCACATTGCTTTAGACAAGGCGCAACCATCTTTTTTTTCTTCTCAAAACATACAGTATTTGGACATCGTATAAATTAAACAAATGCAATAAATACATTTTACTCTGATATTATTTTCTCTTTTTAAGATTGCCTTTTTAAAGCTTTGCTCATGATTCAAAACCTTAGAACATTTGTGAGTTTTGCCCAGAGAACACTGTGAACTGTCTCAACGAATGAAAAATTGACCTCTCGGAGAGCTTTACCTTTACAATCTAGTGAGATGTTTTTGGAACCATCACAGACCATGCGTTCCTGACTATTATTGGTGCCACACCGCATGTGTGAGCACAGATCATCGATTGATTCGTTCAGCTTGTATTGGCTTTGGCATACAGGTTTCCAAAACCCATCGTCATCATCCACTTCCAACTCTCCAGAACAGACATTGCTTCCACCTTGTAGACGAAAGTTGTGATGATCTGTTTGACATAAATCATACGTTTTTGTAATTTCACCTCAAAGGTAACAGTAAATGTTCCACTTTTATAAAATGAGTTGACATAGACAGTATATGTTGTTAAATTAGTAATATCAGAAGGTAATCATAGTGCACAGGCAGATACCAAAAACGGAACTTTGATACATATACATTGACATTTGAGTCATTTAGCAGATGCTCTTATCCAGAGTGACTTACAGTTAGTGCATTCATCTTAAGATACCTAGGTGAGACAACCACACATCACAATCATAGTAAGTACACTTTTCCTCAATAAAGTAGTTATCAGCAAAGTCAGAGCTAGAAATGAGGAGGGTGGGGGGGGGGGGGGGGGGGGGGGGTCAAGTGCAAGTGTTGGTTCAGAATTATTATTACGTTTATTATTATTATTATTTTTAAATGTGGGGGGTGGGTCGAGGTGAGGAGGCAGATTATTTAAGATACTCTTTGAAGAGGTAGGGTTTCAGGTGCTTTCGGAAGATGGGAGGGCCAAGAGACCAGAGGTGGCAGAACGGAGTGCTCGGGTTGGGGTGTAAGGTTTGAGCATAGCCTGAAGGTAGGGAGGGGCAGATCCCCTTGCTGCTCCATAGGCAAGCACCATGGTCTTGGAGTGGATGCGAGCTTCGACTGGAAGCCAGTGGATAGATGCATGCACATCTTAAACTATGTGTTCTGATGGTCCAGGACTGACCTAACAGTTGGACATGATAGGGCAGTTGGTCACCCACCACCGGTTCAAATGTCCAATACATTCGTATTGGATATGTCACACTAATTGCTCCTTGCGGGTCGCCGTCAATAATGGCTGATCCCTGGCTGCAACCCCACTCTCCTTGGCTGTCTCAGGGGGAGTTGGGATATGCAAAAAACACATTTCCATTTCACACCTCACAATCGTACAGGTTACCCACTTGTACATGCACTGAAACAGGACAAATATAAGCACCCCCTATTTAATCTTAAAATATGCGCCTTACAAGAAAATATTCACAGCAACATCTTGGATGCCATCTAGAACCTTAACACATTTCCACAGTGTCAAATTGGCACCCCTTGTATAGGTGTGGTCAGCAGTATTGTGTGATAAGATAGAGGTAACTGCCCAAAACAAGAAAACACCAACATAAAGTGTCTTAACAGGGCGTTGGGCCTCCACGAGCCAGAACAGCTTCAATGCACCTTGGCATAGATTCTACAAGTGTCTGTAACTCTATTGGAGTGCTGCGACACCACTCTTCCATGAGAAATTCCATCATGTGGTGTTTTGATGATGGTGGTGGAAAACGCTGTCTCAGGCGCCGCTCCAGAACAGCCATGGCATATGGTTTACATTGTTTTCATGCTCATCAAACCACTCGTGCCCTGTGGATGGGGGCATTGTCATCCTATGGGGGGCATAGCCATGGTTTTATCCATGACCCTAATCATTATGGGAGGTTAATTGCTTAATTAACTCAGGAACCACAACTGTGTGGAAGCACCTGCTTTCAATATACTTTGTATCCCTCATTTACTCAAGGGTTTCCTTTACTTTGGCCGTTACCTGTATCTTCATCTTATGTTCACTGATGGTGCTGTGTGCTGATAGGCAGCAGCAGAGCAGGGCCACCAATAACATACAGTTCCACCAAGACCTCCACTAACTGTATATACAGTTCCACTCAGCCTGGTCTCATAGACTAGACGTAACATAGTAAAAGTAAATCCGGAATACACAAATTAGTATGGTAGGTTACATTTGGTATAAGACAGATGGCTACTTAACACAAAAATGAAAGTAGGGTGGTTGGTCAGGGTGGATGGGAAGGCGTATAACGTGAACATCTAGCAACCCAATGGTTGTGAGTTTGAATCTCATCACAGACAACTTTAGCATTTTTGCTAATTAGCAATCTACTACTTAAAAATAAAATAAAAAATAAATAAAAAATAAATAAAAATAAATAAATAAATAAATAATGTATGCACTCAATAATGTAAGTCGCTCTGGATAAGAGCATCTGCTAAATGACTAAAATGTAAATGTAAAATGTAACCCCAAAAGTGAAGGGTGAAATCTGCAAACAGTTAGCCACTAAAGCACCTTAATGCATCACACATACAGCGTGAGAGTTATATGAAACAATTGTGATTACAGCATAAAATAGTGATTGTAAGATCAATGACTGTTACCAGTGAATGTGGTGAGGTGAATGTGAAATACTTGCCTGAGCAAATCACGGCGATACGTTCTGTACACATCTCTACATCCTTGGTTAGACATTGCCAGATATGTTTCATATGCTCATCGCTGCTGCACTGCAAATGTTTGAGGTCGCCAGTTTTTGCCTTTTGTGAGAACATTCCGGCTGCTGGGAGACGCTTAGATTTGCCACATTTGAGATGTTCACACACAAGGTCAGCCTGCCGTTTATCTGAACCAGAGGTAAAGAACAGACATGTGTTATGACCCAAGGGCGAAAACGTGGTGTAGATATTGGGGGAGATGAACAGTGGACGGGGGTCCCGGGTATCTCCCCGGAATTTGTTTTGACAATTTAAAAGCATTTTCTGCAACTCTACACAGTTTGAAATGACTTACAATGACTCTCTTGAGGGTATTTTGAGGGGTACATGGAGGGATATTTTGAGGGGTATATGGATGGGTATTTTGAGGGTTACATGGAGGGGTACTTTTGAGGGGTTCATGGAGGGGTATTTTGAGGTGTATATTTTGAAAACACAGGATAAATGGATAGGAAAATGTGCAGTTTCATGATGCTATTCTTATGCTATTCTTCACATTTTCGAATGAGGATGAGAGAATATTTTTGCAGTTTTTAAAGCTAATTTCCTGCTCCTGTACATACACATATTGCCATGAGGCTGAGTTAAAATGATGCCGTTTTAAAGTAACTGACCAGTGAAAATCTCATTTCAAAAAGTTAATATTCTTTTAACTCATACCCAAATAATGTTGTGGACTCCTATACTCATATTTGTGGCCAAATCATAAATTGGAGAAAGCCCCCCCCCCCCCCCCAAAAAAAAAAAAAATGCTTGCTATTTCCTCATAGAGGATGAGCTGGCCAACTCGCATTAATATTTTTAATGACCGGTATACAGCCACACCATTCCAAACAAATCCTGTGAAATGAAGTCAACACATACTGGAGGAGTTACTGGCTAGCTACAAGTGGCTAGCTTAGCTAATGAACTAGCTATGTTGGTTGCGGCGTGCATGACCAGAATGACACATTGATGAACCACCAAAGGCACACCCCATTTCTGTTTGAAAATTGAGAAGAAGGAGGATTTGGACCAATTTTTGTGCCCGAAGCTGATTTCCTGCAATTCTATACATTTTGCCATTGCTTATGATGTGTTCATATGCTATCTGGGAGGGGGGGTGTCCGAACTCCAGGGTGCCCCCAACCCCAAGAAGATTAAATACAATTTTACCTATGTTACAACCATCACAAAAGGATTGTTTTCACCGCTTGTACAGTCTAGCCATACTTCTTGAAATACATTGTATAAATAAAGGAGAAGAAATATCTTCAAATGAAACTACTTGGATAATTGACACATTTCTAGTTTTGCTATTCACTACCTAAAAGAAAATGTGGATGGTGATTGCTTGCACCTAACTAAGCATATACAGTACGTTCTAATGAAATATAATTGTTATCAAATGATATAAAGTCTAATTAGACTTTATATTAACAAAAAATTACATGGGTCCCATATTGTAAAGTAGCCTATTTGTTAAATCGTAATTTATAATAACACAAAATCATTAGCCTAACATGATTAATTAACATTCCACCCCATGCGAATGGTAAAACTAAAAAGTAGGGTATTTATTGTTAACATCAGAGATCAAGTTAACAAGTGACAAGTAGTAAAGATGTAGCTCTTACCCCATTTCGGATCACAAAAGTAGCCCGTTTCGTTGACCTTTGAGATTTTTTGGTATCTGAGAGTTCCAGCACATCTAAACCCAGGCAAACTCTCAAGCGCAAGATGAATCTTATCTGACGATAATAAACAATTTTAAAAAAACTTGTGAGGCTCAAAATGTAATTCAAATGCTTCATTTTGTTTTTAACTTACGGACAAATAATGCAAATACAACACAAAATAAAATCCATATTTTTCAATATTTGAGTTGACAATCAGATGATGTAAAAAGTATTTTTGCTAAATATCAAAGTTAGTAACATGACTTTTTAAATATCGGCATTGGGTATACCATATCGGCATTGGCTGTTGTGACAAATAAAATATTGAGGTGTCAGTGTTAGCCAGCAATTAACATGTAGTAAAATATCCAACCTGATAGAATTACCAATACACAACAGAACATGTAAATAACTTAAAAGTACACTTACCCGAACATGTGATTTTTTTTACTGTATCCTTGGTATAGGAACTTATGTTCCACCCTGGAAAACTGCATTTCCATAGATACGGCTCATTTCCATTGCATTCCAACTCGTTCATCCATGTGGTAAGATTATCCTTTTTCAATATGATATCTTTGGAGCCATTGGATGTCCCACAGCCGATGCTCTTGCAGATTACATTCTCATTGTTCTTGTGCCATTTCTGGTCACCAACAATACCCCATATCCCACCATGGAAGATTTCAACATAGCCCTCGCATGGACCATCCCCACCCTGCAGGATCAACCTGTTTTCCACTGCACAGTAAAATAGATATTATACTATTAACCAGATCTGGGTTCAAATACATGTGTGTTGATGATCTTTTTTTATTTAAATATTTATTTTCTGTGTATTTGAGTATGTTTTAATAATGAGGACCAAATCAACTACTTCTATTGGAAGTATTTGAAAATATTTTGAGATAATATTTGAAAGTATTTTCAAATACTTATTTCAAATACTTTTTTTAAATACCTAGGTTAAATGCAGGGGAATGTATTTGAGTCAGTGTATTTGTATTTGTATTCAAATACATGCCAATACTTTCCAAGTCTATTTCCAAAGTATATTCCAATATTCAACTGAATACTTACTTTGAAATGTATTTTAAAGTAATTGAGCTACTTGAAATGGTATTTGAACCCAGGTCTGCTATTTAGTTACTGTAATTCCTGTGTAGCTCAGTTGGTAGAGCATGGTGGCTGCAATGCCAGGGTTGTGGGTTCTATTCCCATGTGGAAAATGTATGAACTCACTACTATAAGTCGCTCTGGATAAGAGCGTCTGCAAAAATGACTAAAATATAATTGGGGAAATATCGGAGTGAAATCCTAATTTACTAGCTATTTAATGGTTGGGAAATTATCAAAAAATGTTAGCCCCACTTTATGAATGTGATAGCATTTTAAAAACTCCCTGAATATGGCACCACAATATTCATAGATTCATAATCTGATAAGATAGAGGTAGTTCTACAGTAGTTTTTCTTTTTTAATTCTTCAAAAGACAAAATTGCTTGTTTGATTGCTTGTTAAAAGCATCTAGAACAGGTTAATATTAACCAAAAAAAACTAGCTTTTGTACCAAAATCTAGGACAATAATTCAATAAATATTAATAACATAAGTTTAGAAATCATACAAAATAATTGATTTACTAATTTAGAACTAGGCCTAATGCAGACACATCTGTATTATCTATATTTAACAAATACATTGTAGGCCTATCAAGGGATACTGTATGTAATGTGGGACAATTTACTTCTAGTGTTGACATCTAATAGAAATAATTCAGTTACGGCCAAATATATTGGCACCCTTGCACTTTTCTTAATTTATTTTTCTAAAATAAGTTGAAATTGAAAAACAACTTTTGGTCTCCACATATTGTTATTGGATTTTCAACATTGCAGAACCTATTTTGTTGTCATGGAGAAAATATTAGCAATTAGCAAATTGTGTCAACAACTGCAACGCTGCTGGGTTTTTCACGCTCAACAGTTTCCCTTGTGTTTCAAGAATGGCCCACCACCCAAAGGACATCCAGCCAACTTGATACAACTGTGGAAAGCAATGGAGTCAACATGGGCCAGCATCCCTGTGGAACCCGTGTAGCTCAGTTGGTAGACCATGGTGCTTGCAATGCCAGGGTTGTGGGTTCGATTCCCACGGGGGGCCAGTATGAAAATGTATGCACTCACTAACTGTAAGTTGCTCTGGATAAGAGCATCTGCTAAATTATTTAAATGTAAAATGAACGCTTTTGACACCTTGTAGAGTCCATGCCCCAACTAATTTAGGCTGTTCTGATGGCAAAAGGGCGGTGCAACTCAAAATTAAGAAGGTGTTCCTAATGTTTTGTACACTCACTGTTTGTAGAACCTGGTGTTGTGCTGGAGATATTGAAAATTAGGTTGAAAAGTAGTGAAATTGACCCTAGAGAGATATTACCACCTATGGCTGCAAATAGACTATTGAGACGGCTTATTATGCTTCCCCAATAATAATGCATTAAATCACAGACCGGGCACATCATTACACACATGTTGTCACACATCATGAAACACATTGAGGCAAACATTTCAGACAGTAGACTAGTCGCAAAATATAGTTCAATTGATTGAACATTACATTTATTTAAATATGATTGAAATAGCCTATATAGGCCCATGTAGCCTATGTATCTTTTAATGCCGTCATCTCATTTTTCATTTGATGCATCATTTGATCCTTTACTTAATTGTAACAATTGCAAATACTTCAGCAACTTTGTATTTGTAGTCAACTTTGTTCTGAAATTATTGGCAGTCACAGTCAGACAGATTGCCTAAACATCTTGATTCTATGTTTAGCGGAGATCTTCTTTGAATAAAGTGATGCAGAAGGGCAAAAAAAGCATCTAGCCATGCACTTTGGCTGCTGTACGAATGGTCTGGAGCACTAGTAGATGCACAAAGGTTTTTAAGGACCACGCTACTAACGAAGGCTTTGGGAAACACCTCGGCTACTAAAGATACATCGTAAGAAGGTTCTAACGATGATCTTAACACTACGAAGGCTCTGGGAAACGAGGTCCTGAATTTAACACTGGCCACTCCAGAACAGTCCAGCGTTTTTTTTTTTTTTTTAACCATTCCTGGGTGCTTTTTGATGTGTGTTTGGAGTCGTTGTCCTGCTGGAAGACCCACAACCTTGGATGGAGACCCAGTTTTTGGACACTGGGTTGAACATTGGATTCCAAAACACCTAGATGATCTACAGATTTCATGAGGTCTTGCACAAATTCAAGGTCCCCAGTACCAGAGGCAGCAAAGCAACCCCACAGCGTTATCGAACCTCCCCCATGTTTGTTTGTCGGCAGGGTGTTATTTTCTTTGAATGCTTAATTTGGTCGTCAGTAAACATAGCGCTGGTTTGTATTGCCAAAGAGCTCTGATTTTGTTTAATCTGTCCACAGAACATTTCCCCCAGGATTAAGGCTTGTTAATGTGAGTTCAATTGTGGTTTCTTGTATCTCTTTCAGCAGTGGGGTATTCCTATGTATATCAACTTAATGGAGCATTCAAAGAAAATAACATCCACTCCCTACAATCAAACATGGGGGAAGTTTGATCATGCTGAGGGGTTGCTTTGCTGCCTCTGGTACTGGGGGCAAGGCATCATGAAATCTGTAGATTATCAATGTGTTTTGGAGTCCAATGTTCAACCCAGTGTCCAAAAACTGGGTCTCCATCAAAGGTTGTGGGTCTTCCAGCAGGACAACGACTCCAAACACACATCAAAAAGCACCCAGGAATGGTTCAAAAAGAAACTTTGTTCTAGAGTGGCCAGCATTGAGTCCAGATCTGAATCCCAACGAAAACCTATAGCGAGTTCTGAAAACAGCAGTTGGTGGACGGCACCCCTTAAATATTGTAGAATTGGAGGAGTTTGCAGCTGAAGAGTGGGCCAATGTTCCAGCAGATAGGAGTAGCAAGCTCATTGATGGCTACAAAAAGTGTTTGTCAGCAGTTATCACAGCCAAAGGCTATACAACTAGTATTAGAAAAAGCATTAGCTCTTGGGTGCTAATAATTGTGCCCATGCCATCTGTTTTTATTTTCTACATTAAAAAATGCTAACTTAAGTTTGTTCTGCAACGTTGAAAATTCAATAACAATGTGTGGAGACCAAAAGTTTTTTTCAATTTCAACTTAATTTAGAAGAAATAGGAAATTGTTTAAGAAAAGTGCAAGGGTACCAATATATTTGTCCAGAACTGTAAATGCATGGAAGGAAAATGTTTCAGTTATATTGTCTATAGCGCACTCCAAGAAGGCTACATATCCCTTATATAAAGTACATTTAATATCCTATTGACTTCCATTATTAATCAAAGTTTCTACTTGCCTTGAGTGGAGGACAGGTGTGGGGATGATGCATGCAAGAGAAGCACGAGGAACCACATAGTCACAACAGGACAAAAAAATGAGGCAAAGAAAAACGACCTTGGTTTATAAAGGAGGGCATTTCCTTCAACTATGAACACAGGTCATCTTTGTCACCACACCTAGAAAACATAATTCAGCTCCAATAATCCCACTATTTGTTACATTACTGTATTCAGAGTTTAGGAAATTACACACTTTGATAAAGCTATGTTATATTTTACAGAATTATTTTAAATTGACAGATAAAGTTCTGTTTTACTGTAAATGAAGAGGCCTTGCCTTGACACAAAGTAGCCATCCTCACTTAGATAAATGTTACAGCCTAAACCATGGTTTTCTTGTGGTCATATAAATCAGTATTTCATGATACTGTTACAGCAAAGTAAGATGTAGTTTAGCAGGGTTGATATATTTACAGTAAAGGTACATGCATTATTGTCACATAGTGCTGACAACTGTTAAAATAACTACAAGAGTAGAGGTTATTATCAAGTTTCATATGTTTTAAGATTATTATTTTTTTGATTACATGTGAAGAACAGATATGAACACCAAATGAAACTAATATTAACCTAAATGAATGTAAACACACTTTTTGAAAGCAACAGGGCAGCAGGTAGCCTAGCGGATAGAGAATTGGGCCAGTAACTGAAAGGTCGCTGCGTTCCAGTACCCGATGCCGACAAGGTGAGAAATCTGACGATGTGCCCTTGAGCAAGGCTACTATGGCTGACCCTGTAAAACAACACATTTCACTGGACCTATCTGGTGTATGTGACACCAAAATATATATATATATATATATATATTTTTACATGTAAGGTATTAAATGGCACATTTCAACATGGTAAAATATAAATTAGTTTAACTTGAACAACTATGTTTTCCATGAGCAAAAAAACTAATCTGAGGCCCTCAGCTAGATGTCATTACGGCAGGCTGTGGCTGTGGCTCAGATAAGAGATATGCCAGCTAAGTGTAAAGGTTGAGTGATCTGTGGCAATGTGGTCTGCCTGCTTATGAGAAATATGCAGTTATCTCCTACCATCTCAGAAGAGAAAAGGGTAGGGCCACTTTTATAAACCTCATCACCTTTTGCAGAGGCATTTTCAGTAGTGCACACTGTTCTTCTATATGTGTAGAAGGGGAAATTCTCCCTTTCCAAAGAAACCTCATCAGATTAAGAGTAGTCCTATCAGTCATCCAAGTGTACCTTTTTTTGTGGCAATTTT